AGCCTTTGAGAAGTTGAAGGCCGAACACCCCACGGGACGCATCAAGGACGCCTGCTGTGCGGGCACAAAACCCCCTGTTCCTACGACGCAGGGCCTCGGTGACGAGTACAACGCTGACGGCATCCCCGCCAGGTGTCTCAAGACCAAACAGGATATCAACCGGACGAACTGGATCGAACGCAACGCTATTCGAGCCATCACCAGCAAACCGGGATATCGTGCAGAGCACCCGGAACATCGCGTGCAGGTATACACACGACACGGCGATAAAATGTATCTGGACAGCAACAAGACACATTCGGGTCTGGAGAAGCGTTTTGTCTATAAGCCGGCTTATGGAAAGGTGCCCAATTACATCAAAATCCGCGCAAAGGCCATTAAGGAGACGCGTGAACTGTACTCACATTACCTGAATGAGAAATCACTTCAGGGCACGGATTACCTGTTGACGGAGGAGGAGCGGAAGGATCTGCTGTTTGGTCTAAAGGCAGCCTGGGATCGATACAACGCCTCCTATCTGCGTCTTTCCTCCAGCAGTACAACCCTGAAAAGCAAGGCCTACAAGGTTTACCTGGAACAACAGTTGGATGGTTTGGAAAAGGATATCCAACTGGTCCAATCACACCCCTACATTTTCGTCGAGGCAGACAAGGAACCGGGTATTGGAAATAGGACCACCAAGGAATTGCACGCCTAGACTGGGCGTCAAACAGCAGCTATCAACAGACTATCGCCAACCCGGCCTGGCGTGCCTGGGTCATAAATCAAGTAGTATGTGTTAGGACATAGTACAGCCGGAGAGGGAGAAGAAGGAAGAGGAGGAAGAGGAATAATGGTAAATTGGCCTTTCTTACGATAAGCAAGTTTGTAAATAAATATTCGATTACTCTGCCAACAGGCATTTAAAGTAATAAAATATGTGTGTGTCTGGGATGGTGTTAAAACACTAATGCACGCGAGACCTTGATGAGAGCAAACAGAGAGAGATACAGAAGGAAGCTATGAAGTTTGGCCGCGTATACTCAGCCTTTAATACTCAGCCATCAATAAGGTTCACATAGACGTTGTAAAATCCACAGTAGTAGTGTTTGTGGTAATAGTAGTGGTACTAGCAGTAGAAGTAGTAGCAATAGTAGTCGTTCTAAGGGAAATGCGAACTATTTGTGTTTAGTTGTCCATAAGCCCTAATAAAGACTACCATTGTTGAGGTGGCAATAGTAGGGTCAGCAGCGATGGCTGTACTAGTAGTCGGAAAGTTGCACTTCATAAACAATGGCTACTTAAGCA